TCTTTCTCCGGCGCCCTGCTCCCCACTTCCGTCTTCAACACACAGAGCACATGCACTGCCCTCGTCAGTTCCAACTCGGGCCAGCCATGTGTGCCAGTGTGGCACCTTGCCATAGGGGGTTCTTGGCACTCATCTTCCCAGAATGGTCCCTGGTGGCACAGTGGTTAAACACGCGGCGGGTACCCGAGAACATCGGCAGGAGTAAGGTGTGGCCGTCTGCAGGGGTGCCTAAGAACCGGAAACTCCTCGGTGGCGAAGGGATTTATTTCCTTGGTGAACTTTAGGGGATCAGACCGCCAGGTCTCCTGTGGTGTCCCAGGGTGGGTTCAAACCAATGACCCAATGCTCAAAGGGCTAGTGACACCCAGGGACCACCCGCTCCTGTCTGTGTGGATGACCCTGTTTGGGGACGTGTCCTACCAGTGGAATCATAGAAGACGTGGTCTTTCACGTCTGACGTTTTTCACGTAACAAAATAGTGTCAGCAGACAGTCATTATCTGACACCTACCGAACAAAGTTTCACAAGTGAGCATGTAACTAACCACACGGTGTAGGGCCCTCCGTCAGTCCTGTCGGGTGTTGTCCGTTACCATCCACCCCGTGGGTGCTGACACAGCCCCAGCCACGTGTGCAGAGCGGAACCTCTCTGCGCAGCAGACCTGCCACCGAGGCCCCAGCGGCCCAGCCTTGCAGCCAGTGGTTGAGCACTTCACCCTCTGTGCCACCCACGGCAGTGAAGGCGTGTCCCCGAGAGAACTACGTACTCCTGGGTGGCCTTAGTCAGTGCTCCACAACGGCGTTGAAAGGGCTTGCAGTCTGCCTTTGGTCTTTTCCCAAAGAAGCCACCCACTGCCGTTCCACTGAGTTTGAGAACCCTATAAGGGCTTGTCACTCAGGGGTATTTGGATGAATGGTCTATCTGTGTAGGAAAAATTAAATTTAGCTTCCCACCTCACACTATACAAAACAAGCAGATTCCTGATGTACGTGGGTGCTTTCTTTGTTGTAGCATCTCTGTGAGTTTGAAAAAGTGCCCTTGGTGTGACGGGGTTGAGTGGGGACAGTGGCTGCTAAACCTGAGGTTGGCAGTTCAAACTCACCAGCTGCTCTGAGGGAGAAGGTTGAGGCTGACTGCTCTGGTAAAGATTTATTACAGTTTTGGAAACCCAACGGAACGGGTTACCTTAGCCTGTAGGCGTGCTATGAATTGGAATTGACTCGCTGTCAATGAGTTTGGTGTATTGGAAACATTCATATAAAAAAATTAACAGATAACATTTGATAGTGGAGCCCTCTCCCCCCTCCACCCCCCCCCCCCTCGATTCAACAGATCCTTGAGGACCTGGGGTGTTGTACAAATGGTTACTACTGTCATCTGCTGACCTGAAGTTGGAGGTTTGAGACCACCCAGAGGAGCCTCAGAAGAAAGACGAAAGGCCTGGTGACCCCCCCACACCCAACCATTAATAGTCTCCAGGACTCAGTTCCCCCAACTCAGTAGCCAACTGACTAATCGTTTTTGGTTCAGAGAAAAGGAGTGAATTTGTAGAGGATATGCACATTGTGTTCTTGTGTGTATTAAGTTAAGTAGCATTGTGGACTTTCTGCAGCATCATGTACAGTGTAAAGGATTTAGAAGGATGCAGCCTTTTAAGGAGCGTTTGGCTGTGCCAAAAAAGCTTTGTCTGCCTGGCATTCCAGGGTGTATTGTTGTTCTTTTCCAACACTGCAATTCAAGTGCAGCAGTGAGGAGGAGGCTGTCCTTTTTTGCAATGCATCTTCTGGCCAAGCCTGCCAGGCCTGGTTAAAAAAAACAACCTGTCAGGCAGCGGTTCTCAACCTGTGGGTCGCGACTGCTTTGGGGGGTCAAATGACCCTTTCACAGGGCTCGCCTAAGACCATTGGAAAACACAAATATTTCACAGTATATAATTACATATTGTTTTGTGATTAATCACTGTGCTTTAATTATGTTCAATTTGTAACAACGAGAATACATCCTGCATCTCAGATATTAACATGATGACTCATAACAGTAGCAAAATGACAGTGGTGAAGTAGCAATGGAAGTAATGTTATGGTTGGGGGTCACCACATGAGGCACTGTATGAAAGGGTCCAGGCATTTGGAAGGTTGGGAACCACTGCTGCAGAGGAACTGAATGGTCCGGAAGGTAGACAGCCCCTTGACTCTTCTCTTCCTCTTTCCTGCTCATAAACAGGGTTGTCTGCCTTGTTTACACAAGTTCTTTCTCTTTTTTCCTAATAAAAGCTTTCTCTGATAGGAAAAAAACAAACAAAAGCCTTCCTTCGAGCTTCCTGAGGACCCCTGGTGGCACAGTGGTGAAGCGCACTGCTGCGAACCAGCAGGCAGCTTTTTTTAACCAAGAGAAGGGGCCTGGTGGCCTGCTTCCCCTGAAGGTTGCAGCCTAGGAAACCCTATGGGGCAGTTCTGCTGTGTCCTATAGTGCCAGGAGGACTTTGCAATGAGCTGCACAGCTGCGGTGTTTTTTTGTGTCCCTCTCACGGCCCCCAGCTCTTAGAACCCTTGCCCAAAGAACCAGGATATTCTCCTACCTGATGCCTCACATTTAGGGAACTCAAGTAACTCAAGAGAAGGTGGCTGCGGAATGGGTGCATATCATAGGACAGGGTACCGGGAACTCTGAAAGATGCTACGAATCACAATGATAGAAATCTGCATTAAATAAAAGAGGTCAGACGGCAAAGCGAACTCTTTCCTGAAACACCTGTCATCTAGGTGGTGTTTTCATTTCTCTAGTTTCCCCTGAAGAATTTCGTGCTTTAAACTTAGGCCACATCTCAACGAAGGCTCCAGCATCCCCAAGGGACTGCAGTTGCATCCCTGTTCAATATTCCTGGAGATTTGGGAACAAAAGGGAGTCTGAAGGGGCAAGATCAAGGCTGGGGTGGGTGGGTGCATGGGGTACGACCCCAGTGACATGCTCATAGGATAGTCCTCAAAGAATGAGCAGGTGCACTCATGAAGGGAAACATTGCTCAGCATAACTTTCCTGGCCTTTTTCTCACATTTATTTACATATTTTTAATTACCTACCCCCCCTTTTTTATTAGTTGGGATTTAATACATATATCATTCCATATTTCAATCACGACAAGTATAATGTACGATTGCTACCGCGATCAGCTTCCAAACATGCTTTTTCTACATGGACTCCTTGATGTCATCTCCCTTTTACAACCCCCTGCCCCCCTCACCTCTGTACCCCAAAACTCCTATTCTACTTGCTGTCCCTCAAGGTTCATTAGTCCTGGGTTTCAAAATCCGACAAACGGAAAAGCACAGAACACAGCTTCAAGACGGTGACCTCCGTCGACCTAACACCTCTGAGATACGCCCTAACACGAACAAACAAAAACAAAACAACAATACAAACCAAAAGTACAGAAAATGTTGAAACAGATCAGGTCCACCTGGCAGCATAGGGGGGAATCTACTGACAAAGGGATAACTATTCAGGTCAGATCTGTGCCTTTGATCTTCTATACTCCTCTCACCCAAGCACTGTTTAGTGACCCCTTTCCCCCCATCCCTCATCTTTAGACGGGGGTTCTCCGGAGGCCTGTTTCCTAGGTACTTCCTCAGTTGAACCTTGGGCTCCCACTGCCATCCATCGCCGTCACCAGTGCAGTTTTTCATTTTTCTTAAAACTTCTTTCTCATAAGCCCTGGTGATCATTCTGTGTCTTTTGAGAAGACATTTCAAGATAACCCCTTTGGCATCCCTCCTCCCCACAGTCCCCCTGATCCTCTGAGCCGACCTCTCAACCTTGAATTTAATTGGCCAGATTCCCTCAGAAGCTGCTCTTTTGATGGGATCTTTCCATTCTTTTTTTTTTAAAGAGACAACTGTATTATTGAGGGAATCTGACTGCAGCCATCCACTGATCACAGAGACTTGTGTAAGCGTACTGGGTTTGTAAAAACCCATGCATCAGTGAGCTGGGACCTCAGCAGTGATGCTTGCTGACTTACCTTCATACCCAGTCCAACTCCAGATGGCCTGATGGAGGACATGGTACCTCTTGGAATTAAAAACAGAGAAACAAAAGAAGCTCCCTAAGGGGAAAATGGCGTTTGCCTTTGCCGCTTAGCCTAATGGCTTTAACTCTTTCTGGAACGTGTGCAGTTTAGGTAAAAGGAAGTCAAAGAAGGCTGACTCTGAGACGAAGCTGATGGGCACTTCCTTCTGCACGTGGGCCTGCTCCTGTGGTCCTTGTGTGGGGGTCTCTGGCTCAGTAAAGTGGCCTAAGGTTCTGAAAGCCTGATGATCTCCATCATGGAGACGTCAGCACCTTAGGGGACACAAATCAGGGGAAATTAGGTAGTTTATTACAAACAAACAGAGAAACCACATCCTTCCCTCCAAGAGCCTCCTCCCAAAATACTTATCTTTTAACTCAAACATTTAGCCTTAGGAGATAATTTAGGCAGGTGTCATTAACGTATTGTTTGTAATAGCAAAGTTGGAGAGTAACATTGATCCTCAACAAGGAGAAATAGATGACAAGTTATGGCCCTAACATTCAGCAGACTGTCGTACAGCTGCTGTAAAGCAACCCTGTATTATTGAGAAGAAAAGATTCACCATAAAGTGTACAAAGCTCTATGCCATTAAGAGCTGGAATATATAAACACTCCTAGGGAAAAGAACTAGAAGACTATTTACAAGATAAAGTGCTTTTTTAAAAACGGCTGGCGTGCCGTTGGAGTAGTTTAATTCATTTCTTGGTGAGTGAGTGTGTGTGAAATTAAAAAGAGAAGTAAATTAATTTTGTTAGGGCTGTATTTTAGGATGTCCAACAACAGGTGACTGAGCAGATTTCTGTTAATAGGGTTTCAAAAGTAAGTAAAGAGATGGACGTGAGACCTACAGAATAATTGCAGGCCTCCTGTGCTCGTGGTCCTCGGGGAGGCAGACACTGGAAACCTCACTCTCTGCCCTTTGCATCCACAGGCCGTCGCAGTCAGCCACGGCAGCAAGCAGTCACCACCACCTTGCTGCACTGGACTCCAGAAAGGCACCTGGCAGGCATAGGATGTCAACTTGCAGCAGGTCAGGAAGGGTACGTGGGCGTTTCGGGGAGGGTCTGGGGTGGGTGGGGGGGCAGGGATGGATGGGTGGCCCCTGGGGTGCTTGGTCCTGTTGATATTAGAGTGGTGCTTTGTGTTTTACGAACCTGAGAGGTGGTGAGGGTCTTGGAGGTAAAATACTAAGGGAAGGGGGTAGGTGACTTTGCTATGTATCACAGGGCAGCACTGCAGTGCTGGAAACCCTCATCCTTATGAGGTCGCCGAGTCAGAGTTGAATCAGTGACAATGGGTTTGGGTTTGATCCTTCTCGATGTGCACTTATGACATGATAGGTTTTACATCTAATACAGGATTATAATTTTTCTCCTTTGTTACATGCGTCTCATAACTGTGGCTTAGAGATACTTTTTCAGAAACCTGTAGAAGCCCCAGGAAATTTAGAAAAGCATATATATATTTTCACCACCAAACTTTCTTGGGTGTATATAAGTTCTTTTTCAACCTCTGTAGAGAAACATTAATTTCCCCCCAACTTATCTGAGCTCATATTAAACATGCACTTTCCTAATCTGCTTTTAAAATGTAGTGTGTGGCCACAGTTTCTCTTAAATATTTTCTACCTTATTATTTAATTGTTAGGCATGATTTTTGTCCCGTGTTCCTTCTAGAATTATTTAAATCTAGTATGGGATAAGTAGATTGTCCCTTGTATCAGTTATCAAGGCAGCTCTGTGGAAGTTCACATGAGCCCTGGTGGCAGAGTGGTTACTCATAGGGCTGCTAACCTCAAGGTCAGCAGTTCAAAACCATCAGCTGATCCTCGGGAGGAAAATGAAGTGTTCTACTCTTGTCAAGAGGTACAGACACAGAAATCCACAGGGGCAGTTCTACCCTGTCCTATAGGGTCTGGCACACCCCACACATAGCTGACTAAAAATGTGAACAAACAGAGGTACCCCTAAAGCAAATTTCCTTTAATTCGTTATATGCTTGACAGCTCTAAATTATTGAAGGCTCTGTGGTTAGTTACAAAACTATGAGGGTAATGGCCATGGAAGGCTCTGCTCGAAGCTCATGAAGTGCTTTTTCAACTCTAATTCCTTGCACAGCGTAGGGTGTGGGAGCTTTTACTGCTGAGGAACCAAGCACCAGAAAGGAAAAGCAACTTGCCAAGGTCACTCCGAGCAGGAGGTTGGGGCCAGGACATGCATGAAGGGGCTGGGGTTCCAGGACCCAGATTCTTAGTCACCACATCCATGGTAGCGGCTTAAAAGCTTACAAGCAGGTTTCTGAAGTTATCAGTGAAGGAAGAGGTGGAATTGGAGTGGTAATATTAGTACAGGTATAGTCCCAAACCTTGATCAGTCATGTGCAGGCTTGGTAGTTTTACCTTCTTAAGACTGAAGAACATACCAGTTCGTTCTGTCATTTAAGAATGACAGCCCATTCTGCCTTTTAATGAACGCATCTTCTAAATTAGAAGCAGTGTCTCTGTTGAAGGGGTATTAAGAATGATACGCCGTGAAGTGGGCAGGCAGAAACGGATTTCCCGTTTCTAAGCTGAGGCAACAGACTCAGAGAAGTGCCTTCTGGAAGGTCACATGGCCAGAGAATGACCATGCTGACTTTTGATTCCCAATCCAGGAATCGTCTCGTTACATCCTGCGAGGTGTGAGGGAGATGCCTTGTTGATAAGAAATTGCAAGTTGTCATTAGCCTGCCTCACTGGTCCAGTCTGGTTTGGCAGGTGTAATGGGTGTGGATCTCTGAGGCCCCTGTAGCCAGGTGGAGGAGTGTGAACTTGGAGGGGTGGGTGTGAGGCAGCCAGTGCAGGGCCTTGATCTAAGGAGGGAGTCTGAGGAATATCTGTCTTAGGAAGAGTCGTTTTCGAGTGGTGTCCGGGGGGATTAAAACAGCATTAGCATCACCTCTTGTTGGAGGAGCCCTGGTGTCGTAGCGGTTACAAGTTCAGCTGCTAACTGCAAGGGCAGCAGTTCAAAACCACCCGAGGTCCTACAGGAGGAAGACAGGGCTTTCTACTCCCATGAAGAGTTACGGACTTGGAAAGTCACAGGAGCAGTTCCACCCTGTCTTATGTGGTCACTATGAGTTGGCATCGACTCGATGGCAGCGGGTTCGAGTTTGAGGGTCACCTGAGAATCTTGGCGTGAGGTGCGTCTTTGTGTGTCCACCCGGGCCCATTGACTCAGAAACCCAGGGGGGACCCAGCATTCTGCTTTCACAAGTCTTTCAGAAGACTCCAGGGTACACTGAAGTTTGAGAACCACAGAACTAAAAGAAGATTAGTCAGGAGAGCATTTTGGAGATAGTTTCAGAATTTAGATAAAAGACGCAATAGTGAGAATTTTAGTGCAATAGCAGTGGAAATGGAGAGGGACAAGGGGACTCCAAGAAACGTTTGAGAGCAGTCCTGGTCCTGAGAGGAATGCTGCTCTCCTGGTCAGCGCGCACCACTTACTTAACACAGGTGCCCCGAGCAGACTTAATTCCATGACAGCATTTCTCTGAACTACCCAGAAGGCTGAGGCCCGCCCCCGTAGCTGGGAAATTCAAAGCACATCCACCCAGGTGGCCAGCAGAGATGCAGAGGCGGGTGGTTTGGCAAAGGGACAAAGTATCCCTTCCCAGCCCATTTCCCGCTAATCAAGGACGAGCCCTACTTTTAGAATGGATGGGAATGAAGATTACCATAACAGGTGAGGGGGTAACATTGGGAAACCTAATCTGTTCCAGGAATGGATGAATAGAAATGAGTGAGTGTCAGGGGAATCCAGCCCCTAACACATCATCATGGGTCCGGTAGGCGCAATTGTACAGCAGTAATAAGGGAAGATTATAGTACAGTCATAGCATGAGAGATAGAAGAGAGATAGAAATAATGGAGTCAGACACATTTCATGGTAGCAATGATCACCTCCGGCCTCACTTGGTGGTCCACGTGGAGAGAGCGAGATATTTAATGCCAATCAAGGCTTATATATTCTCTGGGGACATGAAAGCCCCCTAATTACAGGCGAAGACATATATCACAGGAAAGGGTTGTGCTGTAGGTAATGCAGTAATGGGAGGGGGTGATCTAGGGGTACACATGCAATATGAAGAGGAGGGATTGGGGGTATACATGTGACAAGAAGGGTGGATCCTAGATTCAGGATGGCAGCCTAACTTTGGATGTCACTGAGCCAGTTTGATCTGTTCTCTGGATCTCCACAGAAACCATTATCAGTAGGGTGTGAACCCCACCTACAGGAACCAAACTAATGGTCACAAGCCTTTAGGAAGAAGTAGCCCATTGTCCTTAACAGCAGGGAGCGGGTGCTGCCTACCTGTAGTCTGACAACTGACTGCCTTCCAGGAGGTAACTGGACAATTATTTACCATTAGCTGCAAGCAGTGTCCTATTTGGGGGAGACATCTTTCTGTTTCCCAAAAGTGAGGCGGGGAATATCTGAGCCAGGGTACATAGTAATATTCTTAAGGATACAGTGCATACATGCCACTAGAAAGATTTCTGGCTTTTGCCTGAATTTCCCCCCTCCTACCAACATTTTCTTCCACTCAGCTTTGATGACCATATTCCCTGAATTGAACCGCCCTCCACCCACCACCCAGCCTGGATACTGACTTGATATTGATAGGATTTGGTGGCCATCTGTATTAGTCTGAGTACTTTGGAGAAACAAATCCACAGCGACTCATGTATAAGAGAGAGTTTTATGTAAAGAAAATGTGCATCACGTAAACATCCCAACCCAATGCTGCCCAAGCCCACAAGTCCAACATTAGCCCATTAACCCAAACACCAGTCCACAAAGTCCTCCACCTCACAAAACAGAGGCAATGATGCCGACTGCAGGAGGAAAGCTGAGTCAGTGAACGGACAAGCATCTCAGCACTAGCAGGGGTCTCCACACGGCTGCTCCAGCACCCGGGGCTGCATCAGGATAGGTCCATGTAGCTTCTCCTTGGGGATGTCTTGTAGGAAGTCAATCTTGCAAGCTGAAGCAGGGAACTGCTAAGGCAGCTGCACCCGGTGCAACCATTACAAAACAAGAGACCCGAGAACTAGAAAGGCGAGGCTCACCACCCATTTATCCCTCTGCCTTTCAATTAGCCCCACATGTGATTATCGGCCAGGCTGGCACAATTAACTAACTCAGCATCTTTTTGGAGATCTTTCTGTGATATCCTCATCAATATGTGCTTCAGCACTGTTCCTGCTCCCAAACTGGCTCTATCCCAGAGCACTCATCCCAGTCTGAGAAGAACTCACCTGGTTATCGGTTTAGTTGTTTAGGTTAGTGTTTTAGGCCGAGTAGACTAGAGAAACAAATCCATGGACACTCTCATATGTGTATTAAGAAAGAGCTTTATATACAAGAGCAATTAAACATTGAGAACACATCTCAGCTGAGTCCAGATCAAGTCCATAAGTTTGATATTAGCCTATATGTCTGATACCAATCTATAAAGTCCTCTTCAGACTCACAAAACACATGCAATGATGCTAAATGCAGTGGGTGGATAGTCTTGTGGATCCAGTGACAGTGGAAGCATCTCAGTACTGGTGTGGGTCTCGACTTGGGTCCTCCAGGTCCAGGGCTCTAGTTGCCATCAGCATAGATCTATGTGTCTTGTTAGTAGAGTCTCTCAGGGGGTGAGCCGAGAGAGGTGTCTCCTGCCTCCAACGAGGAAATACAGGAGTTCCCAGAATCCTCAGGTAAAGGCCATGCCCACACAGAGGCTTCATTGACTATAACTCAATTGATAGACTAGGCTCCACCCCTTCACTCTTAATCCTCTCAAGTCCCAAATTGACACTAGATTATGTAACTACCACAGTTAGCATCCTTACTTCCTCCAGGCCCGCCTCAATAATCCAAAACAAACTAACAAAAGGATTTAAAAAATCCCCAAGAGCCCAGCACAAGAAGCCCTGATGACACTGCAGGATAAATTTGGCTGCTAACCTTGAGGTCAGTGGTTCAAACTCACCCATCACTCTTGGGCAGAAAGATGAGGCTGCCTGTCAGTCAAGATGTAGTCTCAGAAGCCCTCTATAGGACTGGGATGTAGAACGGACTCAGTGGTTGTAGGTTTGGTTGGGTTTCTATGAGCCCCGCATAGTGGGCTGAGTGTTGGGCTGATAACCAAAAGCAAACTTACTAGTTGCTCCACAGGAGTTTGCCTCTGTAAAGACTTGCAGCTTTGGAAACCTGATGGAGCGGTTCTGTTCTTTTCTGTAGTGAACTGACCCATTGGCAGTAGGAAGAGCCCAGAATCCTGTGTGTCTCGTTCAATGCCTCATTTCCTTATTTGTTACCAATATTAATAGAATGAACTTTAGGCAAAGATTGGATTGGGCTGGGATATGAGGGTAGGTAATGGGTCTTTGGACACTAGGTAACAGATGATGGCTTACTGGGACTAGATTGGTGGTGGAGATGAATTTGGATAAATTCTGGAGGTAAAATTGCCAAAGTTAAGTGATGACTTGATATGGGAGCTATCAAGCAGTTTTCCTGTGAATGGTCTTGCTGTGAGAAGTGTGTGAACCTCTAATGTTTGACGTCTATAAGGGCAAAGTTCCATACCTGGAGGAGATGCATCTTCAAACTGTACATGTGAAGAATTCTCTATTTCTGCCTAGAGCAGCTACCCACCTGCTCGCAGTTTTACCCACCCAACACCTACTCAGCAGTGTTATGTCAGTGAGCCTGTGTTATGTCCTCAGTACTAGCAAAGGCGTTGAGAACCCTGACGTGATTAAGACAGCCTCCTCATGTGTAAGACCCAGACAGGGAAGGCAGACAACATTTCCACACATAAAGGCACGAGATACTCTGGGGTGACAATGCGTTAGACAGAGGAAAGAAACTCGTGAGGCTCGATGGCTTTCGGGGGGAATCAGTTTGAGCTGATACCTAAATAATCAGGAAAACATGTTGAAAAGACCTGGGGGCACAGAGGGTTCTACTTGGGGAGCGGGGTGCCCTGGAGTGCCTTGAGAATCCATTTCCAGGAGACAGGTAACGAGTAGGACTTTGCTTTCATGTTTAAAGAATGAATTGGGAGAAGTTGGTGGCAAGGGAATTCATCTTTAAATACATTCCAAGATTTCTCCTGAAAAATGTAGTCCTTTCTCAGTAGCCACCCCAGTAGTTTGTCCAGTCCTCCATTGCTCATCAACGTATTGGAATATTTTCTCATTAAAAGCTGTAAATACAGGTAACGTTTTTAGAGGTGACTCAGATTTTAAAGAGCAATTTTGCTTTCGTGATAAATGTTTGTTAGAATGATATTGTTTTAAAGAAAAAAAATCAGGACTCACAGAGCTATTAAAATGCCACGTGTGCAACATTGCAGAAAGCATATGTGGTACCGTGTTCAGAGGGGTCATGGCAGCACAAACATGGAATGAAGGAATGTTGGAATGAATGTGCAGATGTCAAAATGAGCCTTTTCCTGTAATCATATGGGAAGGACGCCAATGATGCTCCTACTGGACAGGGCAGCTTTCACGTTTATGCCCACTTAGTGTGTGCTGCTCTCAGTGATCTGTAATGTACAGAGTTGGGAGAGCGCTCCCATGAGTCTGCATCAGATAGCCTGGAGGGGCAACCTCTAGTCTGGGCCACTGTTGCCCAATGTGGGTGATACTGACCCTGGGGGTGCTGGCACGATCCAGGGGGACTGCAAAAGCAAGTACTGACTCTTTATCCTGGATGATTGGCTATAATGCAAACGTTCTTAATGCTTGGGTAGTGGGGGACACTGAGTAATTTGTTTTCTGAAAAGGGGGTGGTAGACCAACTAAGTTTGGAGACCAACGACCTGGACAACACAGCTTGCCCCAGAAGCACTACACAGTTCATTTGCCCTAGCTACTGAAACCAACCCAAGATCACATCACTCCTCCTTCCCCTTTCCTGAAATAGGATAGGTTCTGCACACGTGGTCTTTGGAGCAATGGGAGAAGGACCTGCGTTTACTTAGGGCTATGATGTGGATTATAGGTCAGTGTTCCATCCTCTCAACAGCCTCATGAAGGAGACAGTAGCAATCCCATTTCCAAGTTAACACAGCTAGGAATGGCGGAGTTAGAATTTTAGCCTTTCCTTAGGCTCCAGTGTGCGCGTGCACACACACACACATACACCCACGTCACAATTTGAGACTAGTACAAGCTGTAGAAATGCTATGTCATGTTTTCATCTCTCTAGGTCACCGTCAGCCAAGGTAGGTCTCGAGAGTGGTCTAGAAGAATGTGCCGTGGCCTTGAACTTATTTCTGAGCAACAGATTTTCAGACGCCTTAGAATTACTTCGGCCATGGTAAGTCTGTCATTTCTTCTAGCTAAAGTGTTTTCCTAGATGATTCTGTTTGTTGTCATGCTTGCGGGTTAATGTTTCGCCACTTCCCCCAGGACAGGTGTGAGCTAGTTTGGTTAAAAGCAAGATCAGTGTGGTTTTTCAGATTTAAACAAGTCTGAACTTCTTCATGCTTTTTCCAGTTCCACTGGCCATCCTCACTTGTTCAGCGATTCTTATTCCAAGTAGTTTTGTAGCCCTTTAATTTTGTTTTCTTCAGCAAAATGTTTTTGTGGCTCTTTCTCTCAAGCTTAGAGTTGAAAAGTGATTTTTTGTATGGCTCTTCTTCTCCAGCTTAGGGTTGAAAAACCATTTTCTTCTGTTGAGGCATCTCCAATGCTGAAATGAGGATGCCGCCGCCAGCAGGCGATGGGCCTTGTCTCTGACCACTGATCTCAGTGGGCTGTGCAGCCTCCCGCTTCTGTCCTTCCGTGTTTCCAGCTCCTCAGACCTCTCTCTCTCTCTTCTCTTTAGCTTTCCCTTTGCCTGTCCCCTCTGCCTGCCTGCCTCTTTCCATTGTCTTTACGATCTCCCCCTTTTCCCTTCCTGCTGCCCCTGACACTCAGCCGGTCATAATCGAAGAAGAAAGTTACTTCATACCGCATTTCTATTTTCTGATCTTTATCCACATCTCACTGTTAAAAATCCTTCCTCCCTCCCCCTTTCTCCTTTCTCCCTTCCTAGAAGTGTTTACAGGTAAAAACATGGGAGAAAAGGTTTTTTTTTCCTATTTGAAACTAGGATAACACTAGGGTGCTGTTCCCATGCCTTGTGGGCCTTTTGAACAGGCAGCTAAGGGCCTTCGCTGTGCAGGACAACCTGCAAATGACCAAAGGATTTCAGACTCTTTCCACCAGAGAAAAGAGCAGGATGTCTTTCTTTTTAGCTTTTTTCTTCACACAAGCATTGATACTTGAATTAAAACCCAAACCATGCATGAGATATTTTAAAATTTAAGAACAACAAGTTAGGAGAATTTAAGCTTTAAGAAACTGGGACTAATCAGTGTCCTTAAGAATCGAAGCAATTCTCATCAATTAGCTTGACAATTGAAGGGCTCAGCATTTGTCTCAGGAATCACAGATAATGGAATTCCGAGTGTTTCAAGATTAGATTTGAGTTCTAGACTGCTTGTCAGAGCCGTGTGCGACAGACCTCTTTAATGTATTTATTGTCTTCCTTCCTCTCAGTCTTGTGCAGGAGAGGGGAAGTGAACATTTTAACTAAATGGTGCTAGTAGTATTTTTTAAAGAAAAACAGCAGAATCCCTCTGTCTCAAAATATGTTTATAATGGACTCTACTTTAGTTCTTAATTCAGCGAGGAAGATCGAGTGCTCTTTGTTCCACATGAGAAGACTACCTAGGGAAAATTGGTTTGGTTTCAATCTTATCTGGGATGTGAATCCACAGGGTGCCCCCTTGTGCTAAAACAGGGAAAAGCAGGTCTACATCAGCTTCCTTTAGGAGAGCTGTGTTCTGCACATGTAGGTTTAAATTGGAGCACGGGGGTGCTTCTGGTTACAGCATTTGCCTTTCACAGCTCACAGCTGCTCAGTGATTATCGTGGAGGAGTTAAGTGTTGCTACCTTCAAAGTCGTGTAGGTTTTCCACCTGTAAAATAATTGGAAAGTCCCTCTCAGAAGGGCCACATGGAAGGGATGATAAATCCAGGGTGCAGAATAGCACTGATGAAACACATAACTATCCTCGAGTTCTTTAATGTTTCCTCCCCTTACTATTAGGGTTTGTATTTGTTTTAATCATTTCATTAATCATGTTAGACTTGCGTATATTCATTTGTATAATTAAGATCATTTGATACATGAAAGCTGAGATGGATGACCCTTCAGAAACAGTAACAGGAGCAATGGTTCCCTGAGGGCATGGGAAGAGAGGGGTGGGGAAGGGAGGAAAGCATTGATGATTGTATAACACCAATCTAGGGGAAGGAACAACAGAATTGTATGTGAATGGATATATTGCAGGGTGTAAGATACGGCAAAATATAAATAAAAATAAGGGTTCCTGGGGGGTAAGGTGGGGGAGGGAGGAGATAAAGGGGAGCCGATACCAAGGAGTTCAAGAAGAAAGAAAATGTTTTGAAAGTGATTGTAGTAGCAATTGTACAATACTGCTGGATGTGATTGAACTGTGGAGTGTTATGATATCTGTCAGAGTTCCCAATAAAATGATTTTAAAAACCAAAAAAGTAACTAGGGTTTCTTAGGATTAGTATCAGAAAGGCCTGCGGGTTTCCTCACTGGACTGGAGATTCCCTAATGCCTGTGTTCTCCCCAGGGCAAAGGACAGCATGTACCACGCCTTGGGCTATAGCACCATTGTGGTGTTGCAGGCAGTTATGACCTTCGAGCAGCAAGACATCCAAAATGGCATTTCTGCAATGAAGGACGCTTTACAAACTTGCCAAAGGTAGGACCGAGTGAGTAAATGTGACTGGAGGGATGGCTTGCACCATTGATCTCTTTGACTAAAGAGTGCTGGTGGCCTGACGGAGACTTGAACACGGCCGTGCTGACAGAACAGCACTTTGGTTTCCCGGTTTCATGGCCCCGTTGCAGTTTTATTTAATGGCGTCAAAAATTCCCAGTAGTGGCAGTGATCTCCGATAGCTGCGTGAATGGAAAGGCAGGCTGAACCAGTGTGGGAAGGAGAGTAGGGCTTGCTTATTTGCTGCAACCACGTCTATGCATATGGTGGCATGTGCAGAGGGACCAGCCACCGGGCTCGGGAGCTCCAAACTATGATCACGTTGCACCAAGGTCAGCTGGCACCACATAGTCCACAAAGACAATGGTCAACATCCTACTGTGGTGACTGACCATTAAGGTCTTCAAAGCACATGAGCAGCCATCTCAGGTGTGACTATGGGTCCCTCCTTTTCTCCAGGAAAGAAGAGGGATGAAAACTGAAAACACATGGGAACAGGCCAGTGGACTAATGGACCACATGGACATCAGTCTCCATAGCCCTGAAACCACGTGTCCTGAAAGGGATCACAGTAGAGGGGGGTGGGGGAAAGGATTATGTAAAAAAGTCATTAAAAAACACCAGGCTTGCTTGTCAGATAGACTGATGGGGAGTCCTTGAAATGGTAGCCCAGAGTCACCCTGTAGGTCTGGACATGAACTTTCCCTCAGGGCTTCATTTTCGGCCAAACAATGGGCATATTTACAAAGGCAGTGATAATGGGAAGTCCACACACTGCAGACTAACCCACCGATTGCTATGAAAAGGGCAGCATTTACCCAAGGACAGAGTCTAGAAGGGCGAGGATAGCGGGGGAGGGAAACCGGGCGCGTGAATGGAAGCGGAAGAAGTGATGCTTCGCTGTGGAGATTGCAATCCATGAAGGAAGAAACAAAGTGTGTCTGCATTGTTGAACAGAAACATTTTCAGGAAACTCTCAATTCACAATGACAAATTATATGTCTCTATCTATTAGATATATCTAGATATGTATGTATCTATATATCTATTAGGAATAACAAAATTCTATTTCTATTTGGCTAAGACTTATACATCCCTCTTTTTTGTGTGATAACTTGGGCCTGAGCTACAGAGATGGTCTGAGGGACGTTTTGCTTGCCTAGGAAAAGACACATCCTAGTAATTTGGGTCGGTACAAACGAGAGCTGGGTTTTCAGTTTTACTTCAAGCTTGGCTGTGCGCACGCAGGAAGGCTCTCAGCAAAAGCTGTTCTTAGCGTGGGTGAATTTCAACGTTGTTGAAATTAGATCCTCGCGTCATTATGTTGCAAAGCCCCTCAAATGAAGAGAGTTCTCAGCTACTGCAGTTGGATTCCTGATCTCTGGAGACTCTTAACCACAGAAAGACTGGTGTTAGCCACATCCCCGAGGACAAAGTTCTTTGCAGGTGTAGTATCCGCTGGTTCGGGTGGGCTCAACCACTTGGCTTATTCAGAAGGCTACGTGCTCACGGGGACCAGCCAAGCTGGGTGTGTAGGGCTCAGAAAGAGGTCTTTGCTTCACAGACTTTAGGGTGTCAGGGCCCAGTTTGGTGATTCTTTGGTCTGGTGATGATGGAAATGAATGGCAGTTGGAAAGGAGCTGGGCCTCACGGATTGCTCGTTTTCAATTAACCTTGGCCCTTCTGTGCATTCCATGCAGATACAGGAAAAAATGCACCGTTATGGAGTCTGTGTCAAGCCTTCTCTCCAGAGGGTCATTTGAACAGCTGACTGAAGGTATGCGTCATTTAGGAAATTAACTTACTCTGTTCTTTAAAAAAAATTAGAGGGTGATCATGCTCATAAAACGGAATCACAAAATATATAAAGTAAATGGAATGTCTTTCCCCCCTGTTTACCATATTCACCCTCCAGAAGTAACCATTGTTAATAGCTGATTTAAAATCTCGAGTATTTTTTGTGTGTACATAAAGAAACACATATGTAAGCGATGCCCAGGATTTCTGCGCTGTTCGTTGTGTGTGTGTGTGTGTGTTTTCCACTCATAGAATCACACTGTGCACATCCTGCTCAATACTGTGATTTTTTCACATGGATGTTTTCACAGCTCAATACAGATAACTGCACGGGAGTCTGTTCGATATCTACTAGGGCATTCCACAGGATTTGGGTACCACAATTGACTTACATTTTCTCTACTGAAGGAAAGTTCCTTTAAAAGAAATCTCTTCACCATTATAAATAATAGGGCCCTACATTCTTGAACTGACATCACCATGTATTGTTTTTCAAGTATTATGTGGTATAGATTCTTAAAAGTGGAATTCCAAGCTCTAAATATTTGGAAACTGAAAATATTTATAGCCGCTACCATTTTTTTTCTTCTCCAAAGCGCTAGGTCAGTTTATGTAGTCTTAACTATTTGTTTCTACGAGGGTTTCTGTTTCATCCCACCTTAAGAAGTTTTGTCCCCCAAAGTAAATGTTATCCTTCTAAAGAAAGGATTTCTTTCACCGTATGGAAGCAGCTTGAGTTGGGGACCTACATGTGTATTTAAGAGTCTGGGAAGGACAAGAACACGCTGATCAGGTGGGGGGCGGGGAGGAAGTGGCTCTTTTGCTGCCCCACTGAGGTCAAGGTTGATAGTCTGTGGCCAGCAGCCGCCCTGAAATAGAACACTCCCGTCAGAGTGGCTTCCACCTGAGGAAGGGGCGGGTAGGTAGCCCTGCCGAAGAGGGAATGTGCTCTTGAAATGGGAGCAGCGTAGGAGGAAGCTTTGCCCCCTCAAGAGAACTGGAGATAGCACACAGTCCTACAGATAAGTTGTGTTGTGTCCAACTGGGGCCGTTCTGGATACAGCCGCCAGGCATCCCTAGCGGACCAGTGGATGTGAGGCAGGGTTTGATGCTGGACGTTTGTATGTGTCCTTAGGAGAGTGGCCGTCAACTTCGAGTGACACTAGAGAGGAATGTTTGCACGTTGATTACGACAGAGGAGTCTGAGGCATGTGCCCGTCTTTGGGACTTGGTCTGAAAGGGCCTGACCCTGACTTTTAGCCATCTAGAACAGGTGGCCCGTCACTGTTCGCTCCAGGTAGCCGAGCCCTTCTATTTTACTTCTAGGGACGGATTGCCAAGAACCTATAAGCACTTATTGATTCATCTCCTTGATTTCAGAAAGATTGTGCCTCCATATTTTCCAACTTTGGGACATCCATGCAAATTGGCCCCAGCAAGTTCTAAAGTTCATTGAAATGGGCCAGTGAGAAATTAAATAGGACATTCCCATAAGAAATTAGACTTTTCCCCGTGTAGTCTCCTTTCTGCAACTGAGTGACTGTTTATCAGTGTCTGCCCCTCCGCCCTCCCCAGCACCTGCCCTCACTGCTGCCTTTTCTTTGCAGTCAGAAGGCTGGCAATTTAACCTTCATTTTGGGAAGAATGTTGTGATGTTTTTGGTGTGTGAATAATAATAATAGTAATAATAATAATAGCAGTGCCTTAAAAAAAAAGCGAAGCAGTTTCTATATTCTAGAAAAAGAGCCATGGTAGCAGAGCGGGCTAAGCCCTGGTTTGCTCACTGCAGGATCGGCAGTTCAAACCCACCAGCCACTCATCAGCAGAATGAAGAGGCTGTCGACTCTATCCTATGACAGGGCCCCGATGAGCTGGGATTGACCTGATGGCACCGGGTTTGGATTAGGGTTATGCATAGGACCGGGCTCTCCTTACTATTATCCAACGTAACCCTGTCACCTTCTCTTTTTAGATGAGGAGCTGACGTTCCTACCTTAACTCCCAGATCAAATAAACAAATAAATTAATCCCCGATTAATAAATGACCCGACTAACGGAGCAGGAATCAAAACTAATCTACCTGTTCCTTCGCCACATTCATTCCCCTAGGCAGGGAGAAAAGGGCAAAAACCCCCTCATCCAGATGAGGGACGAGTTGAGCCACCGCCGTCCGGCACGCGGAGCGCAGCCGGTCCTGGGGCATGGCACCGTATGAAAGAAAGCTGGTGAAAAGGCAGAGGTTTCTCTAATTGTTAAAAAGTTAAATCACTTTAGAGGCAGGGTGAACCCCTGAAACCAAAAACATCCCCAACACGGACTTGAAACCACACAGTAGTTTCACTTACCCCGTAAGGAGTGTTATGGTGCTTTTTAACACTTTGCTGACCGGCTGTTTCAAGCCCAGTCGATCCCCTGCATCCAACTCCTACAACGACCTCCATTGCTTTCAGGCTTACAAAGTGCATAAGCAAATGCCGGTGCCCACACACGTTCATGTGTGGCAGCCCGCAGCCTTCAGGCGTGAAAGCGCACGTGGCCGCTCCGTAGCAGATCACAGTGATGGCATCACGAGAGAGGTTGGGGAGGAAACAGGGCCAGTGGTTTTGTGTGACCAGAGGTGAACCTCCGGGAAAGGTAGAGGGGAAGGTGGCACAACCCAGAGCATGGAGTCAGTGTCATTGAATTGTACACGGAGACGTTTTTGAATGCTGTTTCTATTCTCAACAGCAATAGAAATGAAATTATGAAGATTTTCATTTCATAATGGGGGGTAAGTGGGAGAGAAGAGAAAATAAATAAAAGAAACAGAAACACGGAGATACGCACACAGATGGACACATAGAGCTCCCTAAAAAATCCTTCTCCAATAAATAAATACAAACACGTAAGGGCGCATGCGTCTTAGAAACTGAAGTAGGAACAGACATGTCTCTTCATAGGAGAATGCCGATGTCACAAATCATAGTGGAAGCATAGTAGTAGAACGCATACCAACACTCGAGTGTTGACACAAGGGTGAGGGTCCGTCAGAGACACCCCTCCTCCTATGTCTTCGTAGTTTAGCTTATGTCCTAAGATTTTATTTCTCAACAGATGATTTTACAACCAGATGTATCAGACTCACATAAAAGACCAGCTTGCGACTATAGCCTGTTAAGAAATACAAGTTTATTTAGGCTTCCTTTTCTCCGGCTGTGCTCAGCTTACCTTTCAGTATGTCACGATGAGACGGCCTGAAGTGGACAAAGGGATTTTGAATCACGGACATCTGGTTGGTACCTACTCCTCTGTGTGTTGTGGCTGACCTGTACAAAATCAGTGCCAGCGAAGAATGGAGACTTTTAGAAATTAAGTTGCATTTGATTCTTAGTGAGTTTTTGTGTACAAGGGAGTGCGTCAAAACATTGTAGCTGGAGGATGTGGGTTTGTTTTTTTTTTCTTCTGGGTAATTTCTACTTCCATCCACAAGTGGCTGGTTGTCTGCAGGAGTGAGTAGTGTTAATTAAACTTGCTCTTCTTCCATGGCTGGTATGAATGTTTCAGATTGCCTTTTGAAAGTGAGTATGTATATGCAGCATGGAGGGTGGGAAACAGTTGAATATGAAGCGTACCTAAGCCCTGCACACAGAGTTCAACCTTCCTTGCCTTCTAGCTCTGCCTTCTCGTTGTGTCCTTTGTGTAGCTCCTAGATTTCTCCATCCTTAGCATATTTCTTCCTCTTCTGCCCTCGGGTCAGTCTTTCCTAAATTAGCCCTGATGTGACATTCTAGTGTCATTGCCCCCTGGTCGCCCTTCCACAGCCCTTCCCTGCAGGTGTCCCATGCCTGCCTTCCCCTCTGGGCCGTGGCTCCTGCTGATGTGGCTGCCCCCCCCCCCCTGACCATTTCCCTGCACACATTCCTTGAGCTACAGCAATCTATGCCCCAAGTAGACATTCAAAGAAGTCAGTAGCTCCTCTAACAATGCCCAGGTTTATTGCACATTGACTTAGGAAGAGCGTTTTCAAGAGACTGCATAAAGAAAAGTGACCAGTTTTTATCTCACTGGACACACTGAGAAAACCCGGAGGGCGCTTTGAAGGAAGAGGCCCCAGCTTCTCGAATGCCACCAGGCCTCGCCCCTCCCTGCCTGCCTGCCACGAGTGTGGGGCCACCTGTGAGGGTGCTGCTGGGGACTTTAGCGTCGTAGTTGCTTCCTCATGAACCATTTGGAAACGCGGGTGAGACAGGAGAGCGAGTGAGTGGGCTGGTTTGTGAGGTGCTGGAGGCCCTGTGTGTGAGAGCGAGCATGTACCTGTCTTGTTCAGTTTAATACAACAGCATCCCCATCGCACCGAAACACCTTCATTTCAGACTGACATCACACAAATGCTCAGCTTCCTAAACCTGTACCAGAATGCATGAGGGGACTGCAGCTTGCGTATCGGTGGAACGATTTCACCGTTGTTACTCAGTGCCAGCTCCCTTAGCAATGAAGAGATGCCCTGGAGCCCTTGATCGTGCGGATGGAGAGCAGCCGAGAGGGCTCAGGCGGCCTGCTCCCAGGCCCACAGCTCTCCTGCGGCAGAGTCTGCCCTCCAGCCCCCGGAGCTGCTCCTTAGACAGCCGACCAGTCTGTGTCTCTTGGAGGAAGCAGGACACTGCTGATTTTGTTCATGGAAAACAAACAGAAAGTTATCTCCCCTGCACACCCTCAACCCCCTCATCCCTGCAAGTTCACTGGGCTGTTCTGGAAGGTAGTCCACACATTTTGAGACACTCCACATGTCCTTGAGCTACACACAGCTATACCTACCTCAGTGGTCCACGCAGCCTAAACTCTAACTCAGGTCTCGTCTGCGTGAGGAGTTGGGACTCTGGTGCCCGCCAGGCCAGGCTGCTTTCATGGACCTCCAGGAATTGCTGCCGCAAGTGTCCAGTCCGTGCCACAATGGGCATGCCTTCCTGTCTCCATAGCTAGGATTGATACCTTTCCTTCCTTTTCTTTAATTATTCCCCCTCAAATCCTACACCTGTGTTACACTCTCACGCTTATTGTTAAGTTAGAAAAGAAAGACCCGGGGTCCCTTTTGGAAACAGTTGTTTCTAACTGTCGGTGTGCCTCCTGGGAGCACATTGTGGTCTCTGGCACCGAGGCCTGGCCTTTTGCCGTCCCGTCCGATTGGGAGCATCCAGCCTCCGTGCATTTTGGGAAGGTCTTGCCGAGAGGCGGATGCCAGAGGCTCGCTTTGCTTTCATGGCGGCGGCACCGAAGCAGTCGGTCTCTGTTTGGGTGTCTCTCTCGAGCCCATAGACCCGTACTGCCCAGCTGAATGCCCCAGAGCAATGACCGCGGACCTGGAATTTTCTTTAATATAATTCTCTTTGTTTTTAATAGAGGAAATGCATGCCGAAATCTGTTTTGCCGAGTGCCTCCTGCAGAAAGCAGCGCTCACGTTTGTGCAGGTAATGACTGCTTGGCTTGAAGTGGTGTTGGCTGGGAAGACCGACCGCTGCTGCCAAGAGAGCTGGGGCTCGCTCGCACCCCTTTCCACCCAGGGGTCCCCTGACAGACACCTGTTAGCCTGAAAGAGACTGGATGCACCCCAGAGAACCTCAAACTCACTGCCATTGCGTGGGTCCCTGCCCACTGCTGGCAGTGCCTCAGAGGCACCATGAATCGCATCTGACCTTCAGCCAGCCTGTGGGCACCCGCCACCTTGTCAAGAAACCCTCTCGCTGCTGCCGCACCCAATGCCCGGCTCCTCGGTGTGGGAGCAGAGGAAGCTGGTTTCTGCCTGCATTTGCAGCTGGTAGCATGCTGTCCACAGGCATGGCCGGGGTGGAGGGCGCCTTCCTCCTTCGCCGACCTTCCTCTGGCCTCCTTGCCCCAGGTGCTTCAGCAGAGCTCGGTTCTGCACGCCATCCGTGACCCAACTGCACCTGCACATGTCAGCCTTTGTTTTTCGTCCTCTCTTCCCACACCCCCTGCTGGATTTTATTTCTTCATCCAGAGGAATCGTTTTTTAAAAGGACCTGTCCCAAACAACAAATCTCTCCTCAATTGTCACTTTCATTTCAATATTAGGATCCAGCTGCTTGCCTAGCATTGTCTCTTCCAGTCCTTGTAACCGACGCCCAGTGCCTGGTCCCTAGAGGCACGGATGTGTGCGGTGCGGCAGAGCTGGGCTGGGGGTGGGGAGGAGGCAGAGTTGAATGTGTGCAGTGGGAAAGACCGTCCTTCATCGCTGTCTTTGAAACTGTTCTGAGAGCAGCCCCTCTGTCTCTCTTATCCT